GAGAGCATCTGGACTAGCTACATCAGCTCCATAATTGGACATTGACTGTTGTCTGCTGCACATGCTGCTCCCATTCAGCATACATTCTCTTATTATATTCTTATATATTTTTATTATATTGCTGCATTTGCTGCTTTAAAGTGCCTTAGATTTAGTGTTACTTATTTATCTACTTTATATTTCATTTGTATTTTGTGGCATTCATGTGGACAACAAAGTAAGAATTTCATTGTACAGGGAAACACATTTCCTAACTGTGCATATGACAAATAAACACTTTGACTTTGAGTGGAAAGAAACACCGGTAGAGTGCCAGAAGATGCCAGTGGCGGGGCTGAGCCTAGATCCGCGCCATCTGGGGGACCTGGGTGGGCCCTCAGGGCAACGTGAATGTTCAAATAATGTTAATCAATCGTGTGCAGTAATGCTAAGTCAGTTCAGAGACTTATTATGTGCTACCATTGAGGGTATGGCAATTTTACTTCCTTATAGGTTATAGCCACATCTGCACCACCCACGAAATATGCAGAGTTGCATAAATTGAACACACCCTCCCAGCATTAACTAACAAAACTTTGGCTTCGGAAAAACACTTAGGGCGTACGTTCAAAGTGCCATAGACATACAAAGATAACCATGGGGCTCAAAGAGAAAGGAAGCGAGATTTGGAATACACTGTTTGAAACTAAAGAAACTGGATGTTTTTCTGCATCGTTGTCAGCAAAGATGAACCAACGTTTGCTCAAAACAAAAGAGATACTTGTGCTCTTGTTTTGGTGTTTATTGCTTATACAGCTGTATGTAGAATTTACTGTGGTTATGCTGCATTCTGCTTCTGACTTTTTAATTCTTACCATAAATAGATGGTTGTTTTGTTGACCCAGCTAATTTTATTATAGTCACATACTTTTATTGCAGGTTTTTCAGTGTGGAAGGAACAAAAAGAACACTGATCATTTGGCACCAGACTCTGGTAAAACAGAAAATAACTTATTACATGTCTGACACACAATTTAACTTAACATAAACATGGCAGACAAAACTTTTGCATTGCAGAGTGTTCTAGCTGTGGCCTTTAAAATGCGATGAAATCCAGTTTTCTGCCACATTTTAACACAGATGGTTTGAAAAGAGAGAAAAGAAAATGAAATCATGTGGTGAGAAGGGTACAAAAGATGATACTTAGCCATGTAAAACTAATTTAGTGTCATTTTTAAAACTGCCAGCTGTTTTTCAGTTAAATTGCTATTATAAGAGATTAAAGAATTGGAAGTGATTTATACCAGGTGTCCTCACAGTATTTACAAGCAGTCTGTTAGGATAATCAAATTCTACAGCTATGCTGCTGAGATATCATGTATACAATGCTGACATTCTTATGAGGCTTGTATCCAAGGAAAATTGGATAAAGACTACATTCCAGGCAACGTCGGCTTTGTGCTGACAGGAAAACAAAAGAATAAAATTCCATTAAAGAAGAGGTGAAAATCTTAAACTTCTGTAAAGTTCTTTTCATGGTAGATACATTGATTATACAGATTATAATGAGGTGCTTGTGTGTTCAGTGCATTTGAATATTACGTTTGAGCAAAGTGATATTTCAAGGCAATGATGCTTGTTGCCATATGGCCAAAGCACATTTGTCCAATGGGGGAATCTGAATAGTGCCATCGAGTCCCAGGCTGCCTTTTCTATACAGCAGGAAAGAAGGGGAGGACAGCTGGATGTGAGAGGAGTAGCAGAGGCCACAAACAGATGTGTAGCTAGAAAAGAGAGTCATCTTCAAGCTGTTTGGAGCCCTTGCCCTCCCTCAGTGTATCTAAACAGATGACCCTGTTTAGACACTGACTCTCATGGGTGATTAAAGAGCTGACTTAGATTTTGGGATTTCACATATTTGGAAAGCAATAAAATTAGTGGTGTGTTTTGCAGCACGGTGATGCAGTGGTTAGCGCAGCAAGAAGGTCTTGAGTTTGGACCTCATGGCTGACTTAGCCTTTTTGGGTGGAGTTTGCATGTTCCCTGCAAACCCTGTGCGGGTTTCCTCAGGGTACTCCGGCTTCCTCCTACGGTCAGGCTAGGTTGACAGGTGTGAGTGGGGGTCTGTCTCTGTTTGTCAGTCCTGAGGTAGACTGGCGACCTGACCAGGGTATAATCCAGCTAACATGATATGCTCTGTGTCAGTAAACATGGAATCACAAATTCTACAGGATTTTTCACTACTCCAGTGACGTATTGTGTCGACTGATCAGTCCACCTGTTTTCTCAGACTGAAGTATGAACAACCACTGGATGGATTGCAATGAAATTTTGTAAAGAGCTTTATGGTTTCCAGGGGAGTACTCTTATTTATTGACTGACTAGCAACCTCCAAAGGTTTTAAATAATATTTCCTGATAGTTATTGGAGGATAATGGGGAAGATTCATCCTGAAGATGAATAACACAATACCCTTGACTTTTCTTATAGGACTGCCAGCAGGTCAAAGTTTTGACTTATTCCCATAACTATTTCAGTATCTATAGGGTAGAATGCACAAAACTCTGTACAAATATTTGTGGTTTCCAGATCATAAACCCTACTGTATTTGACCATCCCCTTACTTTTCCTCTTGCAGCACCACGAGGTTGACCTGTGGAATAACAAGTTTCAACAGTTGTTGGTTGGAGTGAAATTTGCTCCAGGCATTCACATGTAAATCGAGGGTGAATTGTAACATTTGGCTAGGCCCTTAACGTTTCACCACCATCATCTGCTCAAAATTGCTACTTGTCCAATACTTGCTAACCTTGGCATTCTCACCAGCCTCAGCTGTACTCTGTGTTTAGAGCTAATAGCATTTGAATGTAAGATGGTGAACCTAGTAAAAATAGATGCTAAACACCAGCATTTAGCTCAAAGCACGCAAGAACAGCTGCACAGAGCTATTAGCATGGCTGTAGACCTTTTAGTCCTGTTTTCACTTACTATAGATTGGCATTTTCTTTCTGGTGTAAAGATTTATCAACAATGCCCTAGATAAACTGTGATCAACACTGGAATAACAGCAGGTGTTCACATGAGAAAATGTGTTGTTAGTGTCTGTACATGCATGTTTGTAGAAAGAGGTAAAGATAAAATGACATCCACAGTGTAATGCAGGAGATGGAGAAGGAGGTTTCTTTGCCTTCAACTTCTGTTTGTTTTTTGTTCTCCTCAGGCTGTTTTCTGTCTTTCTACTGTAATTGAAGGAAACACCATCATTTTACAAAGAATAAAGAAACCTCCGCCCCGCTCCATTTCTATTGTCCTGTTATACAGCCATCATGCAGTAGAGAAGGCAAGCCCTGTCCTGAAAGTCAGGAGAGCCTTCATCTTCCTCTACCTCCTCCTCATTCTCCTTGCAGGCAGCACGGAAGGTCTGTTTCCATGACAACAGGAGAATTAAGGGCAAAGGAGTGCCATCCAAAATGACACATCGTATTTAGGGGCTAGTGAGGAGATAAATCGTCCCTGGTGAGTTCATAGAGGAAATGGATTGGTTTTTCTGAGTGTGAGCCACATTAAAAACCCACGTTAATGGATTCAGTTTGTCTGCTTATCCTGCTGCTTTTTTGGTTATTGCCAAGAGGATCATTAATAAAAAAGACACACAGGACAGCTGTCAGTCATGATCAGTAACTTAAAGCTTTTGATAACATAGTCTTTATTCTTAAACAATCACTTACTTCATTCAGATTTTTTTAAAATATCAGTGCATATTTTTTATTTCATCTCACAATTCATAATGCATATATGAGCATGTTCCAATGCAGTGAAATCACCTGCAAACATAAAAATAATACTACTGAATACCACATTCAACCAAAGCCTTTGCTCACCCGTTCATACATCAATAAACACCCCCCCACCCCTACCCCAAAGTGCTATACTTTACCGCTTTCTTGCAGGTATTTTTACCTCCTTGCTTTGTTCATCCTACACTCTGCTGTGCTGTCACCAGCTGACATCAGGAACATCCAGTTTCATGCATTGCTTTAAGTCTACATGTATCTCATTTGCACCAATATAAACTTCTAGAAAAAGATACTTCAGTATGCTGGTCTTGCCTGTTGTCTTTCAGTGTCATTTCTAATATGCAGTACTGTATGTAGTGTTATGTTTGCTGTTATGCTGTAGATGAGGTTGAACTAATCTACCATTGTGGGTAACTTGCTCCAGCCATAGACCCAGGCCCCAGGTAGTGGACACTTTCATATCCATGGTAATATGTCACTGAGGTTTGCTCCGTGCAAACTGAATGTGTGCTATTTTACTGTATGTACCACCAACCTAGCATATGGTGTCCAGCCAGACATAGGAGAGTTCTATAAACTCTCTGATCAATACTGATCAGAACCTTGCATAAAACAGTTTTGAATCTACTCTCCCCAAATTCAAAACAATCTTTATTAGCTCCCACCTCAACAATCAAACCAAGCTCACAGCAGCTGTTACAGTCATGCAATGTCCATGTCCGTGTATTGTCTCGCCTCCTCCATTCCCTTTTTCAGCCATCTTAACCTGGCTTGGCTTAGAGGTGCACCACCTTTAATGGTAAAATGCCATCAACCCAAACCTGGCCTCCATAAATACCACATTGGTGGCAAGGCTTTGTGCAACAGATGCTGAACAAGGAGCAGCCAGTGTTTACATCTGGCCCCATTTATGAAACAATTGTAGAACTTCCTGAGTTAGACAAACTAAATGGGGATTAGGAATGGGCTAAGCAGTGTACACGGTATATGCTGACGTACCAGTCAATTCACCTTGTTTACACAGCCATGTTATCACGTAGATTTGTGAAAGAGTTGCTTTCCTTCATAATGCAGCAAGTGGCTCATTTCATGGGTCACAAAACCAGGACAAATAGAGACTGTGTGGCTTACCATGTCAGGGAAAACAAGCAGTGAGATGGTAAGGCATCTTTCTTGCACCTGGCTAAATCTAGATGAACTGGTTCCTCAATGAGATATTCTGCTTCCGTTGTGATGGAAAAGTATTAACAAGTCAGGTCAGTGGATAAGTAAACAGACACCCTGTCCACCAGTGTTGAATTATCTCAAATGCTTTCACAATCAACATAGCAGAACTCATAGAACTTCTTGAAAATTCCTCAACACAGCTCTTCCCTGCCAGGCCTGGCAAAACAACCCATTCCTTCTCTTGCTAAGAGAAAAACAGCAGAAGCCTTTTATCAAGGTTGATTTGTCCATATAGAACAAAAGCACAAATACTGTTACATAATTAAACTTTGAGAGTTGTTGCTATAATCTAGCTAACAGTGGAGTCTTGAACTGCAAATGTCAAGTAACCTTTTTGGGTCATGGCTCGTAGTGCTGATGCTAATCTTTTTTTATTTCAGCTTTTGGAGAGCTTCTTTGCCATTTTAGACACATTTGGAAATCTCTTTACCTAACACCTAACATTCGTTCCAAACATTAATGGTATATTGAAAATGATTCAAACTTTCACCCACTTATGCAGCTTTCTTTGTGAGTCTCTACTGCGAAACACACCAAGAGAGATGTGCTGTCAGCTTGCTATTACTATTACTTAGACACATATTGACCACTTTCTATTATATTGCTTGTATCAGTCCTGTTCTGTTGTAGAACAGGACAATATAGTGAAGTTTATATCAGTACTTTAAACAGTCCTGTTTGTCTTATTGGTCAGGTTGACTTGCAGCACACACCTGAGTAAATTACACACTAAGCACATTGTTTCCACTGGAGTCCAAACCAGAAAACTATTAAATAAGTCAGCTTTACCCTTACACCAGAGCGGGTAGTGTGACAGTGACTTCAAGGTCAAACTGAGAGAAAAATCATAGAAGTAATTGAAAAACAACAACAAAAGAAAGCCATAATAACCACGATAGTAAACGGGATTAGAGCAACTGATTAGTAATGCTGATGATGTTTCTGACAATAACACAAGAAAGCAAGAATGCTGTAGCATTAGGGGAAAAACCTCCATGTATGAAAATTCAACATGTATTAAAGCTTTTTTTCACAGCATAAATTGGAAATGATAGATATTTGTATTTGTGTGAAGCGAGACCACCGTTCCTTTATTTATCACAGCTTTTTCTCTTTTTTGCATAAAATGTTGGTCAAGTTCTGATTGAAAATTGTTTTTTTCTTCATATATATATATATATCCTCTGGTTTCATATTAATCCTTCTAAAAGGTTTTCACAGGCAAGAGTTCAGTTGTTTTTGTTGTCTTGGGTGTACAGTAATAGCTCCTTGTCTTCACATTGCCCTCTTTCTTCAGAGGGGATGGTGGTAGTATTCTGGAGGGGCAGTGAGTTTTCCTATGGCCTGTCCCCCGAGTCAGGATAAAGCCGCTCCCCCCTGTTAGAAGCCCGTCCCCTTGCTGCTATGTGGAGTCCTGATGGACAGCTTTCCCTCCATTCATGGTGGGAGTCCCTGAGCTCTTTCTGGAGCGGTGCTTGTCCTCTATTTCATGCATTGACGGCTCCCTGTACATACAAACTGTGGTGGAGATGTAGAGAGAGAAAAGGAGAAGGAAGGAGAGAAGAACACAGTAGTGGAGAGGAGGGGACAAAAGGCAGAGGAGCCCAGAAAGGGGTCAGTGGAGAGCAGATTGAAGAGACAGGTGTGCAGACAGAGACAAGGTCAGGTGCGAGGCTGGAGGGATAATTATACCAGGCTGGGAGGGATCAGACAGGGAGTTAGGGCCGTGTCAGCGCTTTCTTTTTTCATGATAACATCTATCAAACAGCTCTCACCAGTAACATGTTAGAGGTGATATTTAAAGATAATCCTGTACCCACAACAGCTAAAGAAATGCTCAAAATTAATGTGGCTGTTTTTCTTGAACCTGAAAAATGACAAAACAATAAACTTAACTTGCGCCTGGTTCAAACTACACAATTTTTTTTGTCTGACACGATGGACACACTGTCAGATTACACAATTATAGTCATGCATTCTTGGACAAGGGATATATATGAAAGACTACATGTTGGTTCCCAACAAATCACAGCCTGCCGTTGTTCATGACTTGGAGGTGCCAGGGACCAGGAGAATGTAAGCACAGTGACAGAATAGTGCCTATGGTGTGTGTGATACTATTCAATAACTTCACTGTTAGACAGTAGTGTCACCAAAATCACTCAGCATTATGGACAGGCAAGAAACCCCATGAAAATGAATTATTTTGTATGTAGGAAGCAGCATCAGGCAAGAGAAACAGAGCAGGTTGGTGAAGGAACTGGTACATCTTCAGTGGCCAAGCTCTAATTCAGGGTCTTAAGGGGGTAAGATAAGTTTGGTGGGGGTAGGGGATGTTTTGTCTCTATCAGTGTTGAGAACAAACCTACAAACGATCAACTATGAATGAATAAAACGATTGACTGTCATGTCTGACGCTGTTTGTCGTGTCTGAAACCCCACAACTGCTGCGTCGGGCTGTTTTTTGGCTTAAATCATGTAGTCTGAACCAGGAATTAAACTTTAATTTTATATTTTTGTGACATATGCTAAGTCACTTTTTTTCTGAAAGTTGGATGACAAGATCAGTTCCACTCTCATATGTCTTTGATAAATGGTGGAGCTATGGCTAGCATCTGGTTAGCTTAGTATAAAGAATACAGAGAGAAGACAGCCTGACTCTTTGCAAGATGACAAACTCTACCAGCAACTTTAAATCTCACTGATTGGCACATTACATATTGTTTGACTTGTACAAGAAACAAAGTGCCTTTTTTACACTTCAGTTTTGGCATGACTCAAAGAAAAGAAGTAACATTTTAGTGAGATTTCGAGTTGCTGATGGGTGGATTGTTTTCTGCCTTTGCATATAGTCTGGCCGGCTGTTTCCCTATTGCTTATTTTTGTAATGAGCTGGGCTAACATGCTGCTGGTTGAATGAAAATTGTTTACAAAATTCTTATTGCCAAAGGATACTGTAATATCTGAAAATAGATATTTGTCTGTCAAACCAAAACATTTTAAATGCAACACCTGAACAGTTTTCAGTGTTCTCCTTCATAATTTTCTGAATTGAAATCTAATTTTTTGTAAGTATATTCTAACATAACTTGTAGCACACTGTGCCCAGTTTATAGTTAATGGGATAAAACATGCATAATCACTGGTAGGGTATTAAATTAAACATTAAAAACATCAGATTAAAGCCATTTCAAAAACATTTTTCTGTGTTTTCTCATACCTTCAATGGGCCTGGGTACAAAGTGTGATGAGGGTTTAGTCTTCTTGACACGGTTGCCCTTCATGACTTGCCCCTCCTTGGTAAGGCCAAGGAACCAGGCCCGGCCTGACTCCTGCTGTCGGTACACAGTGGATGAGTAGATCACATAGTAGTTCTCAAAAACTGACTCCTTGAATTTACACTCTGGTGTGAACATCTCCTGTAAAACCAGAGAGCAATGACAAAAAATGTGTGTGAACTCTTTGGAATTATCTGGCTTTTTGCATTAAGTGGCCATAAAAAGTGATCTGATCTTTATCTAGACAAACACAATGTGATTATGGTAATAAAAATCAAACAACTGTAATCTTTATGTCTTTATTGAACATTCAGTGCATTCACAGTGCTAGTTGGAAAAGTAACTGAACCCTTGGCAGCAGTAATGTCAAACTTCTTCAGGAGGAATTTTGGATCATTATTCTTTATAAAATTGCTTCAGCTCACCCATATTATTAGGGTGAAAGGCTCTCTCAAGGCCATTCCACAGCATCTCTGTTGGGTGAAATTCCCCAAAAGGATGGTTTGCTTTGTTAGAGGTCATTCTGCAATATATTTAAACTAATGTTTAGGGTCATTGCCCTGCTGAATCACCCAGCTTCTACTGAGCTTCAGCTGGCAGACAGCCACCCTAATATTATACTATTTTGGGAATTTATTTTCCCCTGGATGATGCCAAGCTTCAGGCACTCATTAATGGTGTTTCGGAGAGCAGGGACTTCCTTTCTGTTGCCCTGGACAACATGCTCCATGATTTATGTACGGTAGACATGAACAGAGATGTGAACCAGCTAAGATGATTACATTAAGCTGTCCAGTCTTTTTCATTCACTGGACTCCAGGTTTATTAACTCCTGACTACAGTTAGGTTTTGTTGAAGTCACCTAGGGGGTTCACATACTTTTTCCAACCTGTGGTTGAATTATATATTTTGATGAGATCAATGCAAACATTTCTGTTATAAGATCAAAAAGACAAACTTGGATAAAGAATTCAATTATCTGTTTATTATTGAGGTCATAGTTAAAGGTGGTGCTGTACTTGACTACATTATATTCAGAGGTGTCTCTAAATTTTTGTCCTCCCTAGCCACATACATGAGAGGGTCAGAATGTTAGGAACACCTCTGAATATAATGTAGTCCAGTATAATACCACCTTTAGCTATGACCTCAATAATAAACATAATTGAATGTATAGAATTATGATCATTTCGCCAAAAACGGAAACATTTTGAGCTTCATAAACACAGATGTTAAGGCGGAAGTGTCGTAGTGAGTTACATACAGTTGTATAGATGTACCTAATAAAGTGGCTGGTGAGTGTATATACATGTGAATCAATGCATGCACACTTGCAAACTTATCATGTATCCACACCAGTATCACACATGCAGGCATACAGCAACAGATGGATAAATTTAATGAAATCTCATTTAAGAAAAAAAAAGAAAGCTGTTTCACTCTGCTAATACTGGCTCTAATCAATGGCATGTGGACACTGCCAAGGTCTGTAAACATACACACACACACACACACACACACACACACACACACATATGCTTATAATCCAAGCAATGAAAATGGAGTCTTATTAGAAAAAAGTGACCAGTAGAAGATTGTTCTGTTGGTGTCATTATCAAAGTGGTAAGCTGAGGAGAAAGTCAAAGGGACACAGGAGCTGGAGAGGACTGACAGGAAAAATGGTAAGAACCTGGAAACACTGCTGGGACTGAAAGCAGTGCCAGGTTATTGCCATGACAAAGCAAGAGAAAGAACAGTGCTCTTGGGTCTCTAATGTGGTTAGTTAGTTAAATTCTTTTGAAGATAATATTGGCATTTACTTCTAAATTAGAAAGACAATATGTCTTTACTTTTTCAAGTAAAATCTATACTTAATAAAAAAAAACGGTGCGCTGATCAATGTGCACAGACGAAGTGGATGCCAAATCTCAGCACCCTTACCACTCATCCCCACTGTTGTCCTCTGAAAAGTTATGGCTATGAGAAACTAAATAACAGACTGATGCTAGTCAGTTTGAAGTATAGATGGTGTGTGTCCAGATTAGATACATGTGATGTGGAACAGCTGACTTAGTGGATGCTGGGTTGTCTCACTCTGTGTTGGCTTTCTGCTGTGTGTAGGTGTGAGTGTGGATGTCAGTGCTGTATTTCATTCATTAATAGCTCCTGCAGCATTCTGTGCCCTTTTAAGGTTGTCCATTTGACTGACAGCCCAGTTCTGCTTCCCGCTGGAGGTGACTGTTTACGTGCTGTGTGTTTGGGGGGGGGGTTAAAAAGTTAAGGGCAAAGAAAAGAGGAGAGCTAAAAATTCTTAGTGTGATTACTGTGATTTCATTAAGTCCAGATTTTAGATATCAGTCTCTGAATTATCTGCATTTCCTTTATCCTAAATGAAGCAAGTCTAATTTTGTTTGTGAAAATTTTCTTCACAGTGTCTATCCAGAAAGAGATTCACTTAATTCTGTGGACAGTCTTCAGCTGTTTCTTTCAGCTGCAGAAATATCCTTGGACTATCCACAATAATCCACTGAAAAGAGATGTTGCAGTTAAATTTCTTAAATGTCATTTTCCTCAGCACTAAAATAGTTGGTTTGGATGAAGACCTCTCAAAGAAAAGACATCTCAAAACCTGCACAAATTAAACCTTATCTATGTGGCAGTGCGGAAATAAATATGTGTTTTTGTAATTCAGGAGAATCTGAAAAATGTTTGCAGGGCCTGCATTATGCAGTAAACAATGTGACATGATCTCTGCATTGTTTTGGAGCAACAAGTTGAAAGCACATTAATATTATATCACCTCAAGTGTGATGACAAACCTGTTGACAAACAGTCCGGCACACACAGAGCATCATTAACATTTATACTGAGACATGTTCCTGTTACCTGGCAAATTCTATGTTCAATATTCATTTTCCTATTTACTCAGTTTTGTTCTTCACAACTCTGAACCAGCACCACTGAGAAAAATATTGGGCGTCTTTCAGCCGCTGGAAATTTCAGTATGTTCCGTATGTGTGCTTACTTTGTCTGACTGCCATTTGGTACTGAGCAGGTAGGATACTATAGATTTATCAGAGCATTTACAATGAAAGTGGTTGTCTGCTAGGGCTTTTCTCATATAATCAGTCATTTGATCCACTGTTCATGTAAAAATATTCTGTGCAGCTTTAAATTCATGCCAATCAAAAGGAATGCTCTGTTAAGAGTATGTGTATCTGTGCGTTTGCTTGCAGTGGCACTAGGGGTCACGTCAAGTCAGTCTGACTGCGTGTGTCTGTGTGTAAACATATGCGTTTGAGTGAGCATGGGGCAAACAGTTATACATCACACACCAGCAGACTTTGTCTCGTCATCATCTGTTCGGATCTCAACTCAGCACATGCACTTATCCACTCAAACCAACACATAAGTAAGCTTTACTCTCCTTCCCTTTAGAATCAGCCACTTTGCTTTGCTAACGCACTGTAGAATCCCCTTCAAATTTGTTCACAAGGACGGCACTCTGTTACTGTCTATGGCTCGGAGAAGTTTAGAAAGCACCCTGGCTGTGGCTCGGATGTAAGTGACTTTGAAATCTCTGACAGAGAACCTTGTTTGTGGATGACTGAGTAGAAACATCAGGTGAAGAGACAGGGTTGGCGTCTCTTGTGATTAATGAGATTATCCTTAATGGACATGCATGAACCACACAGTTAAGAAAAGAAATACACACTGGTGGACAGATACTTGTACATAAGCTCAGTGTTGTCGCATATTAAGATGCACGTCAACAGGTTTCCGCTTTCCCTTTTTCTGCCAGGAATACATAATCAACTAAAGTTGTTACCTCCAAAAGAAAAAAAGGGCTAACAGGGAGCACTTAGTGATAGTAAACTGATTTCAAGGACACATATTTGTATTCTGCTGTGATCTGAAGGACAAGCACAAAGAACTTGTTAGTGAACGTGCGAGACTGCTCGCACACCACTGTAAGGGGTTTTAGTAG